TATGAAAGTTTATAGTGCATTTCATCAATTAATAAATAAATGTGAAAATCGTAATTTTCAACACAAATAATAGTCTCGCTACCTTAAACGAAAAAATACTAATATTTACATTTGGGTGTTGGAATTGTTTATGCACATGCTTGGACTGATTTTATATTAAAAATGTCATTTATTTCATATTTCACAATAAAATTGAAAAATGCCCTGACTATCAACAGAGAATTTTGGGGCTGCTGTCTTAAGACAATATTGCTATTACCGGTAATGTGGTTTGGTATGGTAACCATAGGGATACCTCTGCCATTTAAATACATGGCTACTAATAAAGTAAATATGCTATTTGGCCTGTATATACATGTATATAACGTATGACATTTCTTTACATTCTGTTTTAGTTTTAAAGTATGGACAATGAAAGGTAAAAAGAAGTTACATGAATTTTTAGCAGACATGGGTCTTCCTTTGGTTGAAAGTAAACAGAAATACACATCGATGGATATGGCACTCAGAGAGAACCTTACAGACTGGATTAATAAATCAGCTGAGAAGTATGGGTGAGTAAGGACAGTTTGTTTAAAGGTAGATTCATATGACACCATATGATGCATACTGCTTGGCAATTTTGTTAGATCTGGAATGTGAGTACCAGGGGTAACTGAAATATTGAAGTAAGGTGTGACAACAATTAGAAAGTTATTAGATAGAATACCGGCCAACAAGACTGTCGCAAGCAACTTTCTTTTTACCTATGTGTTAGATACTGATAGAGGACACCCTTCCACTTATACATGTGGTTGCAGTAATTCTTGACATATTTTCAAACACAGGTTAAACAGAAATGAGTTTTGTGTTCACAATATTTCGAAAATATAACAAATTTGATTGTGTGTGTAGTGATAAAAATATCAGTAAGGCCCAGAAACAGATATTCTTATTTCTGATAAAAACACAATTTGAATTGTAATTTTGAGTTGAAAATGCCCGAACAATATTTTTCCTCAGACTAATACATTTTTTTATATTTCTAGTTCTTGTATATATGATTATTTTAAACCGCATTTTAGAAGTGACAACATGGAGTCTCGATGACTTTCGCAAGATTGTTGTCTTCATGAAATCCCTAACAATCCGGAAATTGCAGAAATTGTTACCAGTGAAATTTAAAAGGTTTACAGTATATTTTCAATGAGAAGTGAATCCATATATGATATATATCTGGATATTAAAATCTATTAATAATATGAATTTTTTATTTCAAGATTGGATGACATGTTCCACCCATCATTTCAAGCACAGTATGGATTTAAAAATAAGGTAATGCTACCACCATTACATGTCTTTACTTTCAATTTCATTCATGGTTTGGAATAAGAATATCAGGGGTATGGTGCAGAGAAGAGTGCCTGCATTGCTTCACAAAGATTGTTCAAAAAAGTTAGATTTTGTAAACCTGTGATGAGAAAATTCATATACATAATCGGAAATGCCCGTAATAGAAATATTGCAGCCCAACATTTGCCTTTCTAATGTTAAAGAAGTTGATGTCAGTAGCTCTTACAATACATAAGTATTGATTTGAGTCATCCACACATTACTTTGACTTATTCACTATATAGTGTGTGCAGTTTTATTTACCGGTACTTGTATTATTTCCTGTGTTAGCTGCATCTATGAATTTACACTGCATATACATTGATATATTTATTGGTGTTATCCTATTATCATTTTATAGTTTTGTGCCACTGATTTTGTTTATGCAGTTGGAGCTGTTCTGGAATCTGCGGTAAGTCTTCATTTGCATTGGTCTCTAGTAATAACACAAATCAGAACAAATACATTTGATACAATGAAACAAATTTGACACTAGCAACCAATACATATATTTTGTCGATTCTAGATTCCTTTATAAAAATACTGTATTTGTTTTATTAGAAGAGCACATGTACCGGTACTTGTAAATACTTGTAAAGTATGTCTATGGTAAAAAATGACATATTGCAGTGAATTTTCATATAATGAATGCAATTTTTGAAATTTTTTTCTATTTGAAAAGCCCCTCTAATAGGACAAATACAGAATATTTACAAATAACACTGGTTAACTTGTTAAATTATTTTATTCTTTTTCTTTGCAGGATAAAAATAAATCTGATGAGCAAAAGTTTTTGCAAGCATTTGATTGCCTAAAAAGGTAATCCACGGTATATTAAAATGAGTATTGCTAGCATTCAAAGTTTTCAATCCAGAACTGCAATAAATAATTTGGTCTTTAACAAAGAAACTATAAAAATCAAAATACATAGAATTTTGTACTGACTTTTTAGCTGAATAAATTTTGGCCTTCAGAGTTTATCAGAAAGTCAATGTCAGATTATTAGTGTTATTCTCACAGACTGAAATGTTTGTGAAATGCATTAATTCATCAGTAATATATCCAAGTCTATTTTATTTTTTTTTATCTCTTAGGAGTAATTTGGATTTATTAGAGATTGGTTTAGACACTGCTAAAAAGCAAATGACTGCAATATTGGAACAAGTGAGGACATTACTTGATATGAATCAGGTTATCTGCGCTGGACCATTTCTGTATGCGTATGTACAAAGTGGTAGTCCAGATGTTCAGTTCTTCTCTAGACCCATATGTCTTATATTATTAGCCAGGTTCACACTAGAAGCTTACATCAATGTAGTAAGTACGGTTATATACTTGAGAACACTGTATCAATTTGGAAAATAATTGCACTTGATGTGTACAATTGTGAACTACTGTAAAATGATTAATTTTCACTGGGATTAAATTTCGCTGATTTACCATTTCAGGCATATTCAGTGGGTTTTAAATTCACGGTTTTATCATTTAGATAATGTGTTCTATGCTAAATTTTACATATTCACTGGGTTTTAATTTAGTGCATTTTCCAGTCAGCGAAATGAGCAAAATTAAAACCCAGTGAATAATTAACCCTTTTACAGTATTTTTCTTTGATTTGTTTTGACGGACAATAATGCACATCGTGTTTTCAATCCAATTTATGCTTTTTTAATTTTATAAGCATGCCTTGTTTTGGGATGCAGTTCATAGTACAAGGGTCATACAAATTCAAATCTGTTGTGAGTGAGTGAGTGGCAAATGGTATGGGAAATACAATAAAATATATTGTAATGGCTATTGACCTATAATGAAATTTCTTGTTGTAAACATTTGCATAATCACGATTACTAATGTCTACAAAATTGTTTTTTTTTGTTTCACAGTCAAAGAGCAAGAGAGCCAAGACATTGCCACTTGTTATGAGTGCCCCTATGGATTTAGAAAGAGGAACATCAATTGTAGTTGGTATACCACCAAAAAGGGAGCAAGAAATACTGACAAAGAAGTAAGTGACACCAATTACAGGTATTCAGCCTTGGTTGAAATCTCACTGAACATATAAATTTTGATGTGTCTGCAACCATTTTTCATAGATGACAATGCATTGTGTTTACAGATTCATATTATTTTTGTTATTGTTGATTCAATCCAGACTGATGGCCATTTTTGTTGTCCAATCCTAATGCTTGATGTCTGCCTTCAAATGTTTCTTACATGACTGAATATTGAGTTATACAAATTCACATTATACAGTCAACCACTACCACATTTTTTCAGATTTGTCTAAAATGTCAAAATCACTTTAAACTTGGCAGGACTATGCTCTTTTCAGTTAATTGGTGTAAAGACCCATAGTTTACTAGTTAAAATGCATATGGCATCTCTATTGCATAGTCCTGGATTCTATTGAGATGGCACTGGTAATCTACTGTATAACATAGCCAAGATTCTGCTAATTTGTACATTGATCAAAATTTGCTAAAATGTCATGTAGCTTTTTCAAGATATTTGTGATTGTTGGCTCCATCTGGTCTTGTGATTTTGTTAGCTCCATCTGGTCTTGTGATTTTGTTAGCTCCATCTGGTCTTGTGATTTTGTTGGCTCCATCTGGTCTTGTGATTTTGTTAGCTCCATCTGGTCTTGTTATTTTGTTGGCCCCATCTGGTCTTGTGATTTTGTTAGCTCCATCTGGTCTTGCGATTTTATTGGCTCCATCTGGTCTTGTGATTTTGTTAGCTCTGCTAAATATATATAAACTTTATTGCCATACTAGGACACCAGCCCATCACAATCTCAAGTATACATTTCTTGAAAACAATAATAATACATAAATACATAAATTAACTGTAATATAAAATACTGCCATCAAGAGGTTAACCTTAACTTAAAAACTTGATACAGGAATTTGACACATTACAAAGTGTAATGGGTACCTCAGTTGTTATTAATTTTATGAAGGTGTGGTGTCCCTGGTCATGTAATGACCAACGTGATAATAGCTCGTCTATGTATGCCTGGTATATGGGAGGTTCGAAAATTAGGTGTAATTCATCTTCAATTATTCCGCTATTGCATAATACGCATTTCCTTTCAAAACGATTTGCTACTAACAACTCGTGTACATAGTAATATGCAATTCCAGTCTGTTGGTTTCACAATTTATACTGATTTGTCTTTCTCTCATAGTTTCTTTGGTAGAGCATTTGAACAGGCCAGTGAGAAAACTAATTGCAGAACATTGCTGGATAATTTTGACTCCTCAAGTAAGTACATTCTGTGAATACCATATTTGCTTTATTGCAAGCTCATCACATAAAAACACACATAAACCAACATTTATTGTATACTGGATTATTAAACTATGACTAATTACAACCATAGACACACCTCTTGTCATTCACATAAGCGCATGATGCTCTAAGAATATCTAGAAAATTTGGTATTTCCACCATAGACAGACCTTAATCAATGTAATTGGTTCAATAATATGCCCAATTTTAAAAAGAAACTGTCCAGCCCTCAAAGCTCAATATATTTCCTAGTGGCCATTGGCAACCAGGTTCAAAGTGTTGGTCATCACAATTTGTTATGTTTTACAAATACATAATTAACTACAGAAAACAACAAATATGAAACATTCCAGATGTCTATTAAACAAAGATGCCTTGGATCAAATCACTTGAAATGTTCTCCCTCTGCTATCTTGATTGGCAAGTTGTGACAGAAACATGCAGTTGCAGACTTTCCAATCATTTAACATACAAAAACTGAATTTATTTATTTTTATTTTCTTCAGTTATAGAAATAAAGACAGAAGACAGAAGTAAATTCTTTGATGCATTGATATCACTTTTATCATAAATTTCTCTAACATTATCAATATTATAGCATGTGCTTCATATACCATCCTAGCAACAACCATCGTTAAGGACAGAAATCATTATATCAGATTTATAGAGATAGAGACAAACTAAATGCCCCGTTTTTATATTCTTATCTATTTATTCTGTACAAAAGCTTTTTGATCTCGTTGATGTAGTGAACTTAAATGTGCTATTTAGATATAGACAGAGTTTTTCATACTTATATGACCTTCGTTCCGAAAAAGATTTTTAAAAAAATGCGTCTTAAATGTATATAAATGTGTCTTAAGGTATTGCACCATCTACAACTGTTTTATTATTACCGGTATTATTATAATAAATTCAATCTAATATTTACTGCATAAATAACAAATTTCTGTCCCCATATGCTATATATACCTTAAAACTTTTAAGTAGCAATCTAAAACTGAAACGCAAGTTGTATGTACTACAATCAGAACTTTTGATCCAACAAATTGTTTTATTTGTCTTTATCCCATGATATTACAATTAGAATATTTTCTTTGATTATTCATATTTTTGAGGTTTTTATTTCCATAACTATAAGACATGTTTTCTGAGCAGATGTGTCTGTATACATCGTTTTGAAAGTTCAGCTTTATTTAAAATTAATTTCAAAATTATGCTTTTAACTGAATTATGGTAAAGGCCGATTTACATAATCTGCTGCTCAATTTATCTTGATCATATCGAAAACAAAATCTATGTTTGAAGTTTTTTAAAAAATGAATAAAAGCTGATTGTGGTTCAATCTTTGTATGGACTTCTCAAAGTTCAGATTGTAGTTTGACAAACTTGTGTATCATTTGTTCATGAATCTATATTTTGCATACTTTTCATATTTCAAGTGAATTGTTTTGTCATGTTAACACATTTCCGTTGTTCGTTTTTGTATTCTCTTGACAGTTTTCCATGCCCTACCTGTGCATCAAACATCTTCATAGATATGCCCATTGAATGACCATGAATTTTAATTTTTTGTTGAAATCACTGCATAATAATTACCTAATTTGCATAATCAGTAGTATTGATCTGTAATATATTATTTCTGTCAAAGCTCAATAACTGTAAATTGTATCTGTAGAATATTTACTGTTTTTAAATACAAAATAAAATCAAAAAATTTAACATTTTTGTGGAATTATTTTTTTGTTACATTTGAGGAAAGTATCATGTGAATAATACATTACATCAAATCTATAACGTATATTCAGGCAGCAAATTCGCAAACTTGTCTAGTTATTCATTTATGTCTTTGGTTTTAAATAGGCTGTTTGTCTACTAGACTGATCAATGCTGACTAGTGCTGACAATTATTATAATTCATGAGTAATATGCACTCTGAAAACCCCATCAGTATTGATCAAGTAATAGATAACATCATTTTTTCAATTATTCAAAACTGTTGACAGTGGCTATGATTTCTTACTCTACCCCCACAGCCCTTTGCTAGAGAACAAGATGGTGGACTCCATAAAAGAGTAATATGTTGAATATCCGAGTCTAAAGAATGAAAAGTGATATAAAAATATAAATTTCATTATTCTACATTTGTGGAGTTCTAGGATCATATTGTTGTTTTCCTAGACGTTTCGGATTCTAATTAAACACGTCCTATTTTAAACAATTCTAATTTCGCACTAGCACTAGTAATCCACTTGTTAGTGCTAGCTTTTGTTTTGATAGTTTTAACTCGTAATGGCGCATGCGCATTACAAATCCTAGAAAACGTCTTGTATAACGAGTCATATGTTGTGCCTGTGTGGGTGGTTATCTCCCATGATTCTTTGAGCAAACGCCAAAGTTTAAGTACGTCCGATTTTTATGAATCTGACCAGACGTCCAATTTTGTGGTGTACACGATTTGATTCGCAGATTACGGTAATCGGATTATGAACCCCGGCCGTTCACCATACACACTGGCTTTTCAATGGTCGGACCGATAGAGTACAATAAATGCAATTTACCTGAGTCCGCCGACGAGGGCGCAGTAATAACTCGTGGCTTGCAGATTTCAGCATTATTTTTTAAATTTTTTTTTTTTATCAAGTTATTGAAAAAAAAGCCTAACCGCTACTTTTACTGTATTTCTACATGTGAAATTCAAAAAAAAAATACATGATATTAAAGTGTGATTTATATGTCTAACATTATGTCAGATTATCTGCATGTTATTTATGTCGGGCACGTGACCATAGCGAAGGAAGGCCTTGAGCTGAAGTGCAAATTTACCACAGCAGTGGCGGATCCAGCAAAATGTATTGGGGGGGGGGGGGTCCAAGCTACGCTTAAGATATACGGACCGTAAATCGCAAAGAAGCTATGCGTAATCCAGATGATACGAATCGTCATGCGTTTGGGGG